GGCCGGCCTCCCTGCTCTCTGCTGCACACTCCTGGCGCCCTCTGGGCCTGGGAAAGGCACAGTTCATGGAGTGGAGACGGAAAGGGGTCTGAGATTGCTCGACGCCTCGGCACCTCAGGGAGAGAATGGGGCTGGGAAGGAGTTTCTCCTTGGCCCCAAGAGGGCCTAGAGGGTCACTCCCCTGAGGAGGAAGGGACGGGTGGGGAGGCTGGGGAGAGGAGAGGCTGTGAGAGACAGGAAAAGAAACCAAGGACCAAGAAAGGTGGAGAAGGGGAGGCAGGCAGAGAAAGGCAGGAAAAGAAAGAGACAGAAACGGAGACAGAAATACACAGAGGGCTGTCAGGTTAACTCAGCTGGTTACAGCGTGGTGTCACAACACCAAGGTCAAGGGTTCGGATCACTGCACTGGCCAGCCCCCTCACCCCCAAAATAAATAAAAAATATTAAACTTTTTAAAAAAAGAGACAGAGAAATACATAGAAAGACAGAGAGGTAATCAAGGGAGGAGGGAGAGAGAGAAAGCTAAGAGAGAGAAACAGAGATCGCAGATACAGCTGAGAGACGGAGAGAATGAGAGATGGGGACAGGGTAGGGGATGCACACGCAGATGAGCCTGGTGGTCTTGGGCTCAGTGCTCCCCGACCCTCCCTCATCATTCCCTCTAGGAGAACACAGGCTGCGGGCATGGAGAATGGATGGCGGGGTAGGTGGGTAGACCAGGTAGATGCCTGGGTCCCTGGCTGGCCCCCTGCCCACCCCTCTGGGGTCCTTTGCAGTCTGCCAGGGTCTGAGGAGGGGGCAGCAGGGCCACAGAGGTGCCCACACAGGCTCCCTCCAGCTCCCATGCGCAGGGCATATGGAAACCAGGCAGGGAAGCAGCTATGCGCCCTCCTGGCTACCCAGCCTCTCCCAGGCAGCCACATGACATGTGCTACCCCCACCTCAGGGGACCCAGAAAGAGAGGAGCCTCATTCCCCATGGCTTTTAACACTCTCCCCATTGGATCTCCATTTTCCTGCTCAATTCCTGTCTCTAAATTTAGCCTGCCTCCTCTCCGCACCTCTCCATCCATGTCTCTTCCTCCCTTGCCTCTCCATGTCACTTTCTCCCTGTCTCTGTCTCTCTCCTTTTCCCTCCCCCTTCCCTTCTTTTCTCTGCTGCCTGCCTCTCTCCGTGCTATCTTCTCTCCTTCTTTGGTCCAAACATCCTTTCTCTAGCCCTACTCTCAGCCTGTCTCTGTCTCTCTCCCCTGTCTGCTGGGCTGTCTTTTCTCATTTCTCCTTGTTTCATTCTGCCTCTCTGCTTATTTCTACTGGTCCCTCTCTTCCTCTGGGTCATTTCTTTTTGCCTGTCTCTATGCTTTCTCTTTTGTCTTACCCTCTTGTCCCATCTTCTCTCTGGTTGTCTGTTTGTCTCTCTCCATTGCCCTTGGTCCCAGGTCTCCTAGCTCTTCCCCCCTGCCCCCAACTTCAATATGCAATGGTAGGAGGAAGCTGGAAGGCCTGTGTCTCCCCCCATGGGGCTGCCTGGCCAAGCAGAGCCTGCAGGGAGCAGGAGGGGCCTGGAGAGCGGCAGATGGTTTAGGAGAAATGAGGCAGAGAGAGATGGGGAGAAGGGGCGCTCCATGGGGCCTGAGGCCAGAAACGGGAGGCCAAGAGGTCCCCTAGATTCAGTACTGCAGAGAGATGAGGCCTGAAAGACAGAGACTCAGAGAGAGACACACACTCATAAAGACAGAGAGATACAGAGAGGGAGAGAGATCAGAACAGAGAGAAGGAGACAGAGAGAGACACGCCCACAAACCAGAGGATCCAGAAAGAGGCAAAGAGACAGAGACAGGCTCAGAGAGAGAAGACCTGGGAGATGGAGGTTGAGAGAATGTGACACAGGGGACATGGGTTCCAGAGAAACAGAGACCTGATGAGAGACACTGGTTCAGGCACACACACGCAGGCATACAGACAAGACTCAGAGAGCTAGGAACCCTGGGACAGGCAGAGACAGAGGTCCAGAGACAGTGGCCTGAAGAAACAAACACAAAAATATGGGGATCCAAAGAGACATGAAGCCCAGAGAAGAAAGAGACATGAAAAGACAGAAACACAGAGATGGGGACCCAGAGAGAGAGAGCGAGGGACAGAGAAAGAGACCGAGAGACAAGACCTAAGAAACAAAGAGCCCAGGGATGAGTACTCAGAGAGAGACAAAGGCAGAGACAGAGACTTGGAGCCTAGAGAGATGGGCGTGGGGGGTAAACACTCTCAAAGCCACAATCAAACAGAGATGAGGCAGAGACACACAGCTCCCCTCCATTTTCTCCAAGCCCAGAGGGGGGTACGTCTCCATAGCAACCTCCCCAGATCCTGAGGGCAAATATTGTCCTGGCCAAAAGCAGCGGGGCTATGTTGACATAATCTCATGCTGGGTGGGGTGGAGGCTCCAAGGGCCCAGAGGCCAGGATGGGGGTGGGAGAGAGCAGAGGGGCTCTCAGCTGGGGACCTACAGACAGCTCCAGCCTCCCCCTATGTCCAAATCCGGTAGTAAACATCCTGGCCCTGGGAGGAGCTGCAGAGACATCTGAATCTGTAGGGGTCCCTGGCTACCCCCTAGTGGTGGTGGATGAGCCAGAAGCCCCTTTCCAAGCATGTCAAGGAGAGCAAGATAGCCTGGGCATTTTCCTCCAGGCTTCTTTTTTTTTTGTTGAAAAAGATGACCAGTAAGGGGATCTTTTTTTAAAAAGATGACCAGTAAGGGGATCTTTTTTTAAAAAGATGACCAGTAAGGGGATCTTTTTTTAAAAAGATGACCAGTAAGGGGATCTTTTTTTAAAAAGATGACCAGTAAGGGGATCTTTTTTTAAAAAGATGACCAGTAAGGGGATCTTTTTTTAAAAAGATGACCAGTAAGGGGATCTTTTTTTAAAAAGATGACCAGTAAGGGGATCTTTTTTTAAAAAGATGACCAGTAAGGGGATCTTTTTTTAAAAAGATGACCAGTAAGGGGATCTTTTTTTAAAAAGATGACCAGTAAGGGGATCTTTTTTTAAAAAGATGACCAGTAAGGGGATCTTAACCCTTGACTTGGTGTTGTCAGCACCACGCTCTCCCAAGTGAGCCACAGGCAGGCTGTCCACCAAGCTTCTTGAATCTGGTCCTATCCACCACCACTTGCGATAGTGCTGCCAGGCAGCCAGCATGGTCATGCTAAAGCGCAAACCGTATTCTGTCCTTTCCCTGTTCAGAACCTGCCATGGCTCCACAGTGCCCTTGGGATAAAGCTCAGGCTCCTCTCCATTGCCTTCAAGGCCTTTGCTAAGCTCTTCCAGCCTTTTCTCCATGACTCCCTAACTCTTTAAACCCTTCCCAGCCCCCCAGCTTTTGTTCTAGAAATTTTCTTTGCCTAAAATGCCTTCCCCTAATTTTTGTCAAGTTTTCCAAGCCCATCTCAAAGTTAGGGATCCGAACCCGTGGCCTTGGTGTTATCAGCACCACGCTCTCCCGAGTGAGCCACAGGCTGGCCCTCCCCTCATCCTTCTTGATCATATCATCCTGTCTTATCATCTTTGTACTTACCAGGATCTGAAATGATCTTACCAGTTGTATGCCTGTTTCTTCATCTGTAAAGTGGTGAGGAAAAAAGAGCTTGTTTGAGGATAAATGAATGCCTGGCACAGAGTAAGTGCTCAGTCAATGTTACCTATTATTTCTGTTGTATACAGTGGCTTACCTCCTCCATTAAACTGCAAGACCCATGAGAGAAAACTTTGACAGTGACTTGGTCACTCCTGAAACTCCAGCACCTAGAACACAGCTTGGCACATAGTAGGCACTCAGTAAACATTTTTGGATAAATGAAAGAGGTAGGCACAATTATGAGTCCCCACTTTCTAGATGAAGAAACTGAGGCTCAACATCACACAACCAGACAGTGGTGGAGTCAAGACTCGATCCCGGGACAATCCCGGGACTGTCTGCCAGTGCGTCCAGAGGCAAATCTCTTTCAGCTCTTGGCCTCGCTTTCGCTGTCTATAGAACATGGTCTGAGTCATCTCTAGGTATTGCTCCTCAGTGGAGACTTGGAGAAGGCGGTCCAATATTCTTTAAATTAATTGTCAGGTTTTTGACTTCCCCTCTTCCCCCCAACTTCAGAGCCAGCTCTGACCGACACTGCCAGCTGGTCCAGGCCTCACAACTAGGTCTATGTCAAAACCCGGACTGGAGATTGCGGTTGTGGAAGACTAGGGCTCTAGGAGCAGAGCTAAGGGCCTGGGGCCGCAGAGGAGAAAGTGGAAGGGAAGGTTTGGAAGGGACTACCAGACTCCGGGAGAGGGGTCTAAGTTCCGAAGGCGGAACTAATCCTACTAGAAGTCCGGTCAAGAGCTCTGGGCGAAGTTTACTAAACCCTCGGGCATTCAGGGGCGATGCTAATGGATCTAGGGGCGGGAACAGAACTTCTGGGGGTGGAGCTAACAGCCCTGGGGGTGGGTCTAGATCTCATAAACAAGAGCTCGGAGGCGTGGGCTAGAATAGGTGTTCTGGGGCGGAGCTAGTGGACACGGGGACGGGTTCGAGGATCTTAAGTCGGACCCGGTCTTGCGAGGGGGCTTTTGGGAAATCCAACAAAAGATTAGGGAGAAGGTTTGGGGGATAGGAGAGCCGGAGGCTACACTTCAGGCTAAAAAGCAGAGAAGGCCCTGCCCCTTCCAATCCCTCTGCATCCCTATTGGCGGAGGGGCCTGCGCGACAGGCTTTCATTGGTTTTGAACAGGCGAGAAGGGGGTCGAGAGAAAATATACGCCGGTTGTGGGCGGGGCCAGACAGTACCTAGGAGAATCCCGGAGCAGCCAATCCTAGACCAAGGATTTTGTTGGGGGGCCTGGCAGGGGGTGTCCCGACCCCCTTTTCTGGGCATCCTGGGGGATGACCCTGATGCCAGGCCCAGCGCCGGCCGCCTGATGCGGAGAGGGCCGAGCTGGGGATGCTGGAACGAAGGGCGTTGCTATGGCAACGGGAGGCAGGGCCTGGGGGGGGGACCGGGCACGGGCTGGGGCCGGGGGAGCTGGCGGTGGCTGTGGCGGGGCGATGGCGGAGCGCGGCCCGGCCTTCTGCGGCCTCTACGACACGTCCTCGCTGCTGCAATACTGCAACGGTGAGACCCCTCCTCAATTCCGACCCTAGCGCCGCCCAGGGCTGGACCCTCTCCTCCTGCCCCAACCTCCTCCTTCCAGGTCCCCATCGACCTCCCTTGCTGAAGAGCCCCCCATCTCCCCCTCAGCAGGACCCTGACCCCAGAGTAAGGTCCGCATCCCCAAAGCCCTGATTCTGGCTCTCATCCTCTTGGACCCTCCCCTGCTCCCCAGGTGGTGGCTAGTTAGAGAGAAGGAGAGCAGAACCCTCAGGAACCTGGGATTGAAAGGGGGTAGGCCTGGCGGTGGACAGGGCCTGGAACTCTCCCCTCCCTCTCCCCTCTCAAGCCTCTGGAACCCTCCCCTTACTCCTTAGAAGATGGACAGACAGATTAGAGGGGTGTGGGGGTGGGAATGGATGCTGAGTTGAGGGCAGGGTGTGGGACCAGGTAGGACAGCCAGAGGACTTTGCCTCCACTCAGAGGAGGGGAGTTGGGGACAGAGAGGAGAGAAGATGGGAAGAGAAATGGGAAGTGGGAGGTGGTCTCTGGTCAAAGGGGCTGAGGGTAGGGGAATGATCAGGAAGGAGCAGAGGGCTTGAGTCATGGGGGATGGGATGGGCCAGGCCAAGGCCTCAGAAGGCAGCTGGCTTCTCTGGGTGGGGACTGAAGGATAAAGATGAAAGAACCTCCATTTCACTCAGGAGGCCCTGAGAAGGGACCATCTTCCAGTTTGGGGGCTCAGTCCCCTGAGCACACGCCCTAGTGCCAAGGACTACTGGAGTTGGCAGAGAACCCAGAGTGCTCATTTTGTCCTCTTCTGCCCCTCTAAGAGACAAGATGGCAGGGTGCCTAAGGCTGGGTGGAGTTCTGCCCCTGAAACACTGTGTGTCCATGTGCAAGTTACCTCATTTCTCTGGGCTTCAGTCTCCTTCCTCCTCCTCTCCTCCTAAAATGGTTATAATACAACTACTATAGTTGCCAGGAGCATTAGGAACCATAAAAATAGGTAATTTTATTCTGGATTTATTGAGCACATACTATGAGCCAGGAAACATGATAAGTGTTTTTCTTGAGTGGCACCTGGCACATGCAAGGTCACAACAACATACCCCTTTATTATTACTGGTAGGTAGGAGAGCCTCAGCGCAACGAGGTGATTGGGTCCCCCTGCCTCCCACCTATTGGCTGTGTGACCTTTGGAGTGTCTCTGCACACTCCCTCCAACCTCCGTTCTTAGTTTCCTCGTTCGCAAAACGTGATGCCAACAGGACCCCGCGATTCCGCTTGTTATAAGTTCCAAATCTTGACAGCTTTCTCCTCTGACCTCGGGAGGCCCCCACCTTCCTCTGCAGGTCTAGCCACGGACTTGGGAGGCGCTGGGTGGGGGGCAGGGCGGGCGAGGCTCAGCAGGCGATTGGGCCACGGTGGGGAGGGAGGGGAAAGACCGGCGGCTGCACTGCGGAGCCCAGCGGGCAGGCGGGGAACGGGCAGGCTGGGAAATGTATGAACGCGGGATGGCAGGGGCGACCTCCATACCCCGTCCCTGTTTATGCTACCACCTTTACTTCCACCAGGCTGGGAGCCAGGGTCTTCTCGGTTGTGGTCAGCAATGAGTCTAGGTATGACTGTTGGGGGTGGGGAAGAAGGAAAGGGGGACCACCTCGGTTCTCCGCCCTCTCACTTCGGGGAAAATGGGCTGGGGGGTGGGGTACGATGGGGGAGTCATTTTGGCTCCAGTCATGGACTGCAGAGGAGGAGGAGGAGGGCCGAATCTGGGGCGGGGGGTACAGAGGCGAAATAAAGAAGAGGAACAGAGGAGAGGAACTCTGGCTGGGGAACAGAGTTTGAGTGTCATCCCCGCCCGCATCTCTCTTCCTTGGGTCTCCTGGGTCTGCGACGCGCTGCCTGCAACCCCCAAGTCAGCCGCCAGGGGCCGCAGAGGCTCTGTCTTTGCAGTTGGCTCTAGGGTCGAACCCCTTGGTGAAGAGAGGAGGGGAAGAGCAGGAACCAGACGTGACCTTTTGCTTGGAAAGTCTTAGGGGACGTTAGTATCCATGATGGAATATTCGTCAGAGAATGTTGGGGATCAATCCTAGGACATTGATGTCACTAGGAGTAGGTTGGTATCATCCCTAAAGTGTTGGTATCGCTCATAGATATTTAGCATCTTAGTCATAGAATCTTTTTTTTTTTTTTAAAGATGACCGGTAAGGGGATCTTAACCCTTGACTTGGTGTTGTCAGCACCACGCTCACCCAGTGAGCAAACCGGCCATCCCTATATGGGATCCGAACCCGGGGCCTTGGTGTTATCAGCACCGCACTCTCCCGAGTGAGCCACGGGCCGGCCCTTAGTCATAGAATCTTAAAACTAGAGTGAGAGGCTCCTGGATTCGTAGAATCTTAGAATGTAAGAGGGGAAGGGACTTCCCCAAGGTCACACGGCCAGGGCGCTGTGGCAGAGAGAGGAGTGTGGGGAAGGGATGGAGAGCGGTGGGGATTTCCTTCCCCTTTCGAGCCCCTCTTGGCCCATCTTCAAGCGTCCCAGCCCCACGTTACGGGACAGGAAAGGGGTGTGGCTGGCCCCGCTTAGACCCGGGAAGGCGGGAGGGACGCCTCGGGCATTGGAGCTCCTGGGTGGCCACCGCAGCCGACGCTCCCCCGCCTTCCAGATGACAATTTGTCGGGCACGAGCGGCATGGAGGTGGACGACCGCGTGTCGGCGCTGGAGCAGCGGCTGCAGCTGCAGGAAGACGAGCTGGCGGTCCTAAAGGCGGCGCTGGCTGACGCGCTGCGCCGCTTGCGGGCGTGCGAAGAACAGGGCGCGGCGCTGCGCGCGCGGGGCACCCCCAAGGGCCGGGCGCCCCCAAGGCTAGGCACCACTGCCTCGGGTATCCTCTTGAGACTAGAGGGGTGAGATGGGGAGGGCCCGGGGCCCGGACCTAAACACTCATCCTCTTCTGTCCTCTAACCCCCTCTCTCCAGTGTGTCAGCTCTTGAAAGGCCTTCCCACCAGGACTCCCCTCAATGGCTCGGGCCCCCCGCGGCGTGTGGGGGGCTATGCAACATCCCCATCCTCCCCCAAGAAGGAGGCGACCTCTGGGCGCAGGTAAGACGGCAGCCCGGGTGACCAGCCTCTTCCAAGCCCTTGTGGGAGAAGAAGGCTGTTTGCACGGAGAGGGAGGGACTCAAGTACCCGAGCTCCAGCGACGGAGGGTGCAGGGACGTTGTCGCCCGCCCTCAACACTCACCTGCTAATCTAGCGCTCTGTCCCCAGCTGCGTGCTCTCTTTTCGCAGTGGCCGCCGCTACTTGTCGCCAGAGCGTCTCGCCTCGGTGCGCCGCGAGGACCCCCGCAGCCGAACCACATCCTCCAGCAGCAATTGTAGTGCCAAAAAGGAAGGGTAAGTATCGGGGAGGGGTAACGTCACAGAGAGTGGGGCCAGGACCCCAGATAGGCAGGAGAATGAATGGGGAATTTAGAGTCATGCTCCAGGCCACGAGGTCATAACCTAGAGAGGGGCCAGCTAGTTCAGAATGCGAGGACAGTGCCGGAGGACGGGAGGGACCAATCTTGAGTTGGTACAGTCAAGGTAGAAGGTCTGAAAGGGCCAGGCCCATATTGAGGGGTGTAGCCAGATCCTTGAGCTAGACTGGAACACCAGAATCCTGGGTAGTCAGGATCTCCCGGGTGAGCCAGAGAGGAAGTCTAGGTGGAGCCAGTCTTATGGGCGTGGCTATTAAGGTAATGTAGAGTCCCCATTGAGTTCCACGGGTGGATTCAGGGCAGAAGCCTCAGTTTCTGCAGAGAATGGGAGAATTGGATGTGGGGGTGTGGTCGGAATTTGGGGATGTGGCCAGAGTGTTAGCCTGGAGGGAACCAGAACCTGCGGTGAGGGTCACAGGAGCTGAGGCAAGTGGGGGTGGGTCAGATTCCAGAAGCACTGGCAGATCTGCATCAGTGGGCACTGCCAAGCAGAAGTGGACGTGGTTTGAAGGTTGGGCAGGGGACGTAGGTGGATGTAGTCAAATATCAGGAGGCGGAGCTAACTTGGAGTCCTTGAAAGGACTCAACACAGGAACCGAGTCACGTGAAAGTGGACATGGTCTGAATGGGTGGCGGGGCCAGAGTCGGCGGAGGTGGGGGGAGCGGTCAATTATCAAGAGAGGGAGTCAAGTCAGGGGCAGGGTTAGAAGGAGGAGGTGGGTGTGATCAGAGTGCTGGGCGTGGTCAACTCCCCGGAGGCGGGGCCATTCTGAAGTTCTGTGGGAAGTCAAAACTTAAGGCTGGAGTCACGACTCCGTGGCGTGGTCAGGGTTTGGAAGCCGGGCTAAGGCAGGACCGGGGTCCAAAACCACACTTTTCAATTCCTCCCAAATGCTAGCAAACACGTCTATAGTGTTATGTGTCAGGCAATACTCCAGGCACTTTACATGAATTACCAGATGTCATCCTCGCAACCATCCGGGAGGTGTAGGTATTCTTATCCCCATTCTTAAAATGAGAAAACCAAGGCAGAGGTTGGGCAACTTGTCTACACTGCTAGGAAGCGGCAGAACTGGGGTTTGAACTCACGCAGGCGCCCTCCCGAGTCCATATTCTCAACCACTCTACCCACCCCCACAAAAGAGCCTGATATCAGGACTCCACGGCCCAGGATGTGGGACCCGGTGGGACCTGCCGGCTCCAGGGGTCAGTCGCAGAGGGCGGGGCAGGGCGCGGCGGCGCGGGCACCTCCCAGGGCCGGAAGCGGCGGAGACGGTCCCGGCTCCACCCCCGGCCCCGAAGCTCCGCCGGCCGCCGCCATGAGTAGCTTTGGAGCCGGGTGAGACCCTCTCGCAGACTCCCTCCTCTCCGCGCTCCCGGGGCCTGGATCCCAGGTCTTCCCCATCCCCTGGGACCCAGGCCGGCGAGCCTCACCCCTTTCCGCCGGCTGCGGGAATGTGGAGACACACCCCTTCCTTTAAACTTTCACCGCCGCTTCTCCCGCTGCTTGAAGTTGGGGCGCTGAGGGACTGGGGGTGGGGAGCGTTGGGGAGCACCTTGTTGATTAGGAGGGAGGGATCCCCGCTGACTCCCCTCTTCCAGGATCGCGTCTCTGCTACTTCGTGCTGTGTGATCTTTGGCGATCACTGCCTCTCTGGGCCTGTGTCTTAGGCTCTGCAAGATCAACCGAGCAAAGCACACGGCCTGCAGAGAGGCAGCGCTCCGCCCCTTACTCGGCCCCCGTTATTCATCAGAGACCTCTGGGGAGCGGAAGGGCGGGGGGGGGGTGCTTTCTCTCCTTTTCTGACCTGCTTGCTAAGGCCCTTTTTTTTTTTTTTTTTTTGCTGTGTCCTTTCCTGACAGCAAAACCAAAGAAGTTATCTTCAGCCTGGGTGAGTGGGGAGAGGGAGAGGGGCTTGGTTAGAGACTTGCTAGGGTGACAGGCCAGAACTGGAGACCTGGCTACGGGGGGGGGGGGGGGGGTGCTTTCTCTCCTTTTCTGACCTGCTTGCTAAGGCACTTTTTTTTTTTTTTTTTTTGCTGTGTCCTTTCCTGACAGCAAAACCAAAGAAGTTATCTTCAGCCTGGGTGAGTGGGGAGAGGGAGAGGGGCTTGGTTAGAGACTTGCTAGGGTGACAGGCCAGAACTGGAGACCTGGCTACTGGGCCTTTGTCTCTCTGGCCTCAGTTTCCCCACCTGTTAACAACAACAACAAAAAACCCAAAAAAGTGAAGCCTGAAGAAAAGGAGAGGGAATAGGGATGGGAGATGGTGTCAGCGCCTGACCTCTGGGGGTATCCTGGCAGAGGAGGGCTTCGTGAAAATGTTCCTGAGGGGCCGCCCTGTGCCCATGCTGATCCCAGACGAGCTGGTGACCACCTACAGCCTGGACATGCGCTCGGAGCTGCCTTCCTGCCGGCTCAAGCTGGACTGGGTGTATCCTTTGCTTTAATCCCTCTCTTGGCGCTCCTGCCCCCTCAGGAGGAGGCAGAAGCCCTTCTGACTTCAGCAGGAGGGAGGGACTTCGTACTGAAAGTGGGACTTCCCGGGCCTCTGTGGCTGAGGGGTCAGGAAGACCATGGCTCAGGAGAGAGTGGAAGAAAGCAGGTTAGCTGAAATGAACTTCTATGATTCATTAATGCAGCAAATGTTTGCTGAGTACCTTCCATATGTCAGGTTCTCTCCTGCATGTGAACTGTGTTCATGGAGCTCACCTTCTAAAGGAAGGAGACAGATGAGAATACAGAAGCCTGTGATTAAACAATCAAGATAATTTCAGTTAGGAATAAATGCTGGGTGTACTGTAACCTGAGGTCATGTTAGGGGAGTAACTGGGTTTGTTTAAGGAGGGGATGTTTGAGCTGAGAACTGAAAATATAGGAGCCAGCATAGAAAGAACTAGAAGGAGAGTGTTCCAGACACAGGGCACAGCAGGTACAAGGGCTCTGTGGCCAGAATGAGCTTGATGTATTTGAGAAATAGAAGAAGCTGGGAATGGTTAGGAGCCTTGTTGGATTTGGAGCCTGGCAGAAATGGGTTCAAACCCCAGCCCTGCTTTTGGCTGGCCATGTGACCCTGGATCAGTCACCTTACCTCTCTGTGCCTCAGTTGCCTCCTCCAAAAAATAGGTTTCATGATCTCAGATTCTTAGGACTGTGGAATAATGTGCAAAGGTGCTGAGCTCATAGTATGCACCCCATACACAGGGATTGAAAAAATAATAACTAATTTCAATTTAAAAAATAACAACTAACCTTTGTTGATCATTTTCTTTTTTTTTTTTTTTTTTTTTTTTTTTTTTGTCTGTTTTCCGTGTCCGGCAACG